CCAGGGTCAACGGCCAGAGCCCCGCCGAGTCCCCTGGCACCCTCAAGGCTCGCCAGGTCAGTCAGGGCGCGGATGCCCCTGGCTGGCTGTCCCTGCCATCGCGGGCGGGGCTGTGCGCCAGGGCCGTAGGTCTTCCCTCTCCTCATCTCTTGGTCTTTGCTCTTCACTCTTTGCATTTGGAACTCCTTGGCCTTTATAGAACATTCACATAATATATATACATATATAATATATATATATATATAATATATATATATATATATATATATATATATATATACGCTTTTATATTTATACATAATATATATATATATATATATATATATATATATATATATATATATATATATATATATATATATATATATATATTATATATATTACATATATATATATATATATATATATATATATATATATATATATATATATATATATATATATATTATATATATATATATATATATATATATATATATATATATATATATATATATATATATAGTATATATATATATATATATATATATATATATAATATATTATATATATAATATATATTATAATTATATAATATATATATAATTAATATATATATAATATATATAATATTATATATATATATATATATATATATCTATATATATATATATATATATATATATATTATATATATATAATAATATATATATATATATATTAATATATATATATATATATATAATATATATATATATATATATATATATATAACATATCATGTATATATATATATATAGGCGTTTATGTCTTTTTCATTCTTGTGGAATTTATGCTCGACTTTTTTCCTTTATTTCTTTTCCTTTTTCTCTCATTTCTTGACTGTTCACAGAGGCACCAGCTTTCACTTGTTTTCGTGCGTGTGGCATTGCATATCATGAGAAATTGTACTGATAATGTACAGAGTTTTTTCATGTGAAGAAGTTTATGGCTGAACCATTTTTTTCATTATGATTACTTCCAACACTCAGACCAAATATTTGATACTTTCTCCATGAGGAATATAAAATGATATGAAAAAAAGAAACTACATTGTTGAGTATTTATATACACTACATTATTGTTTATTATCCTCAAAGTTATCATCTGTTTCTTTATGCACGAAATTATTCGAATGAAGGAGTGATGTCGTGTTGCTATTATTTCTTGTTCTCTGATAATTTACATCAAGCTTGCACTTCAAAAAATATTACGTCACTGCTTGCAAAGGCTCTCGTGTTTGGTTTTTCACAAAGCAGCATTGCATTTATTGTAAAATTACCAGTGACATTGATCAAAAACAAGTTCGTTGTTGCAAGAACTGAATCATATTGCTATAGAAAGTTCATTATATATATATCCTAAAATGTATAGTCATTGTCATATTATTTGTCTAATTTTAATGTAATTAGTCATCAAGTGATACTTAAGCTCATTTTTCAGCAAATAAAAAAGTAATTGGAAACTGTTCATTAAATAGTTATCAATATATAGATTAATTAAGGGTCACTGTTCTGCTATTTCACTGCATACAGTAGCATGGCATCGTATTGAATTGGCTTAACCATATAACAAACTTTGTAACTGTTAATAGTAAAGATTAATCATGTGTCATTTCACTATCAAATATGTTTATGAATGAAATCGTTTTCTATTGTCATATTATTAATATCAGACTTTTTTTTAGAAAATTGAAATAGTTTTGATTTTGATATATTTGGTCCCCAGTTATAATGGCTTGTTATAATGGTATATTTGCTTGGAGATATAACAATGTCAAGTTTTATAAGTGACGAGAATGATTTATAATGATTTATGTTTGTGTTGTTGTTGTTTTAATTCTGGAATTCGAAAAGTATGAGAACAAAAAATTAATGGAGAGATTTTATAAAATGATCATTCTCGTCACTTGTAAAAAGGAGATATATCCAATAATTTAAATTTCAAAATCATATTACGGAATACTTTAGTAGTCTTTTTTATCCCTCTCTCTTTTTTTCTCTTTTTTTTTCTTTCTCTCATTTTAATCACTAAATCAACTACCTCCCCCCTCCTCCTCTAATCTCTCCCTCTCTCTTTTTGTAAATGTATTTTTATATTTGCTTTTCCATTTTTTTATCATATTTTGTATGACGATATTTTTTATCCATCCAAATACCCCAAAATTTTATTCCATTTCCCCTACATTTTTTTTCTTCTTTTTTTTTACTCCAACCCAAATCATATTCAATTTCTTTTCTCTTTTTTCCCTTCTCCTTTCCCCTCCCCCAACCCGCAACCCCCCGTTTATTTCCCCCCATCTATCTCTCCATCTCTCTCTCTCTCTCTCCCCTCTCTCCACCTCTCCTCCGGGCGGCGCTTCCTGCAGGAGGACTGGGACGCGAACCACACCATGTACGGCGCCATCCGCTACCTCGAGGACTCTGTGGAGATGACGCGGATGACCCTCTGCGGACCCGCCGTCAGGGACCGCCTCTGCCAGGTGGGTGGGCGTGCGCGGGCGTCGTGCGGAGATACGTACGGGTGTACGTGTATTCGTGCGTGCGTATATGCGGATATATGTGCGTGCTTATATACATGGATATATACGTATGCACATATATACTGTATATACATACATAAAGGAATGCATACACGTATGCTTACATGAATGCATACATACATACATATATACATACATATATACATACATACATACATATATACATACATACATATTTTACATACATACGTATATATATATGTATACGTTATGCATACATACGTACAAATGTGCGTGTAAACATACATACATATATATGTACATACATACATACATATTGTACATTCATGCATAAATGAATACATACATACATACATGCTTACATACATACATACATACATACATATACATACATACATACTTACATACATGCATACATATGTACATACACATATATACATACATATATATACATACATACATATATACATATATAATACTATATATGAATACATGCGTACATATGTGCGTGTATACTGTACATACATACATGAATGAATACATACATATATACATGCTTACATACATACATAAATAACAAATTATACCCACACGCATGTACACAAAATCTCACATGTGTACACGTATATGAACAGTATTGTTATTATTGCTATTTCAGTTTTAAATTTCGTAATTATGAAAAAATAACTTGAGTAAAAAAATATATATATTTATTATCAAATCATAATGCATGTGTGATTTTATTTTCCATTGGCTATGATTATTTTTTAAATCAGATTTAGAGTTGACCTTTCTGGACCTTGAATGACCTTGTTTGCCCTCATTCCTGACCTTTATTATTCTCTTGTATACAGTTTTGACTTTGCTGACCCCTCTCGACCTTTCCCTTATACTCTCGGTTTATTGCCGCCTTCCCTCTTTTCCAAATTCCGTTGACTTCCTTCCTCTCTCCCTTTCCCTCTTTTTCTTTTTTCCCGTTTTTCTATCACCTCTTTCACCGTCCCCATCTTCGTCTCTCCTGTCTTTTTATCACTGTCTTCTCTCTGTCTGTCTCTGTCTGTCTGTCTGTCTGTCTGTCTCTCTCTCTCTCTCTCTCTTCTCTCTCTCTCTCTCTCTCTCTCTCTCTTCTCTCTCTCTCTCTCTCTCTCCTCTCTCTCTCTCTCTCTCTCTCTCTCTCCTCTCTCTCTCTCTCTCTCTTTTTCTCTTTCTCTCTTTCTCTCTCTTTCTCTCTCTCTTTCTCTCATTCTTTCTCTCTCTCTATCCCTCTCTCCCCTCTTTTCTCTCTCCCCTCTTTCTCTCCCTCTCCCTCCTTCCTCTCTCCTCTCCTCTCTCCTTTTCTCTCATCCCCTCCCCTCTTTCTCTCATCCTCTCCCTCTCTCACCTTCCTCTCTTCCTCCCTCCCTCCTTCCCCCCTCTCTCTCCCTCTTTCGTCCTCCCTCCCTCCTTCCCTCTCTCCCCTCTTTCTCTCATCCTCTCCCTCCTTCCTCCTTTCCCCCCCCCTCCTCCCTCTCTCTCCTCTTTCTCTCATCCTCTCCCCTCTTTCTCTCATCCTCTCCCCTCTTCCTCCCTCTTTCCCCTCTCTCTCCCTCTTTCTCTCATCCCCCTCCCTCTTCCTTCCCTCCCTCTCCCTCTCTCTCCCCTCTTTCTCTCATCCCTCCCCCTCTCCTCCCGACAGGCCGTGGACACGATCTGCGAGCGATGCAGGACTTCACGGACTCCGCCTACACTTCTCACGAACACCGGGAAAACATCCCTTCTTCTCACGGACAGAATACGATCGAAACTCAACCAGCTGCTGCGAGTCGGGGTCAATCTGGTGAGTAAGAGGAAGTGGGTTTGTTGTGTCGGGGTCAATCTGGTGAGTAAGAGGAAGGGAGGTTGTTGTGTGGGGTTGAGGTGAGGGAAAGGAGGGGGGCAAGGGAGTAGGTAATGAGGGTGAGTGGGGACTGAGGTTGAGTCAATCTGGTGAGTAAAAGGGAGGGAGTTTGTTGTGTCGGGGTTCAGGGTGAGGTGAGTCGGGGTCAATCTGGTGAGTAAGAGGAAGGGGTTTGTGTCGGGGTTCAGGGTGAGGGAAAGGAGGGGTCAATCTGGTGAGTAAGAGGGAGAGAGTTTGTTGTGTCGGGGTTGAGGGTGAGGGAAAGGAGGGGGGCAAGGGAGTAGGTAATGAGGGTGAGTGGGGATTGAGGATGAGTCAATCTGGTGAGTAAAAGGGAAGGAGTTTGTTGTGTCGGGGTTTGAGGGTGAGGTGAGTCGGGGTCAATCTGGTGAGTAAGAGGAAGGGGGTTTGTTTGTGTCGGGGTTCAGGGTGAGGGAAAGGAGGGTCAATCTGGTGAGTAAGAAGGGAGAGAGTTTGTTGTGTCGGGGTTGAGGGTGAGGGAAAGGAGGGGGGCAAGGGAGTAGGTAATGAGGGTGATGGGGATTTGAGGATGAGTCAATCTGGTGAGTAAAAGGGAAGGAGTTTGTTGTGTCGGGGTTGAGGGTGAGGTGAGTCGGGGTCAATCTGGTGAGTAAGAGGAAGGGGGTTTGTTGTGTCGGGGTTCAGGGTGAGGGAAAGGAGGGGTCAATCTGGTGAGTAAGAGGAAGGGAGTTTGTTGTGTCGGGGTTGAGGGTGAGGGAAAGGAGGGGGGCAAGGGAGTAGGTAATGAGGGTGAGTGGGGATTGAGGATGAGTCAATCTGGTGAGTAAAAGGGAAGGAGTTTGTTGTGTCGGGGTTGAGGGTGAGGTGAGTCGGGGTCAATCTGGTGAGTAAGAAGGAAGGGGGTTTTGTTGTGTCGGGGTTTCAGGGTGAGGAAAGGAGGGGTCAATCTGGTGAGTAAAAGGGAGAGAGTTTGTTGTGTCGGGGTTGAGGGTGAGGGAAAGGAGGGGGGCAAGGGAGTAGGTAATGAGGGTGAGTGGGATTGAGGATGCAGTCAATCTGGTGAGTAAAGGGAAGGATTTGTTGTGTCGGGGTTGAGGGTGAGGTGAGTCGAGGGTCAATCTGGTGAGTAATAGGGAGAGAGTTTGTTGTGTCGGGGTGAGGGTGAGGGAAAGAGGGGGGTAAGGGAGTAGGTAATGATGGTGAGTGGGGATTGAGGATGAGTTTTAAGGGAGAGGAGGTCAATCTGGTGAGTAAGAGGGAGAGAGTTTTGTTGTGTCGGGGTTGAGGGTGAGGTCAGTCGGGGTCAATCTGGTGAGTAAGAGGAAGGGAGTTTTGTGTCCGGGTTGAGGTGAGGTCAGTCGGGTCAGATCTGTGAGTAAGAGGAGGGAGTTGTTGTGTCGGGTTGAGGCTAGGTGAGTCGGGGTCAATCTGGTGAGTATGAGGAAGTTTGTTGTCGGGGTTGAGGGTGAGGTGAGTCGGGGTCAATCTGGTGAGTAAGAGGGAGGGAGTTTGTTGTGTCGGGGTTGAGGGTGAAGGGAAAGGAGGGCAAGGGAGTAGGTAATGAGGGTGAGTGGGGATTGAGGATGAGTCAATCTGGTGAGTAAAAGGGAAGGAGTTTGTTGTGTCGGGGTTGAGGGTGAGGTGAGTCGGGGTCAATCTGGTGAGTAAGAGGAAGGGGGTTTGTTGTGTCGGGGTTCAGGGTGAGGGAAGGAGGGTCAATCCTGGTGAGTAATAGGGAGAGAGTTTGTTGTGTCGGGTCGAGGGTGAGGGAAGGAGGGGGGTAAGGGAGTAGGTATGATGGTGAGTGGGGATTGAGGATGAGTTTTAAGGGAGAGGAGCAATCTGGTGAGTAAGAGGGAGAGAGTTTGTTGTGTCGGGGTTGAGGGTGAGGTCAGTCGGGGGTCAATCTGGTGAGTAAGAGGAAGGGAGTTTGTTGTGTCGGGTTGAGGGTGAGGTCAGTCGGGGTCAATCTGGTGAGTAAGAGGAAGGGAGTTTGTTGTGTCGGGGTTGAGGCTGAGGTGAGTCGGTTGTGATAAGAGGAGTTTGTTGTGTCCGGGGGTTGAGGGTGAGGTGAGTCGGGGTCAATCTGGTGAGTAAGAGGGAGGGAGTTTGTTGTGTCGGGGTTGAGGGTGAGGAGTCTCAATCTGTTTGTTGTCGGGGTTGAGGGTGAGGTGAGTCGGGGTCAATCTGGTGAGTAAGAGGGAGGGAGTTTGTTGTGTCGGGGTTGAGGGTGAGGTGAGTCGGGGTCAATCTGGTGAGTAAGAGGAAGTGGGTTTGTTGTGTCGGGGTTGAGGGTGAGGTGAGTCGGGTCATTTGGGTGAGTAAGAGGGAGAGAGTTTTGTTGTGTCGGGTTGAGGCTGAGGTGAGTCGGGTCAATCTGGTGAGTAAGAGGAAGGGAGTTTTGTTGTGTCGGGGTTGAGGTGAGGTGAGCGGGGTCAGGGAGTAGAGGAAGGGAGTTTGTTTGTGTCGGGGTTGAGGGTGAGGTCCGGGGTCAATCTGGTGAGTAAGAGGAAGGGAGTTGTTGTGTCGGGGTTGAGGGGTGAGGTCAGTCGGGGGTCAATCTGGTGAGTAAGAGAAGGGAGTTTGTTGTGTCGGGGTTGAGGGTGAGGTCAGTCGGGTCCAATCTGGTGAGTAAGAGGAAGGGAGTTTGGTTGTGTCGGGGTTGAGGGTGAGGTGAGTCGGGGTCAATCTGGTGAGTAAGAGGAGGGAGTTTGTTGTGTCGGGGTTGAGGGTGAGGTGAGTCGGGGTCAATCTGGTGAGTAAGAGGGAGGGAGTTTTTGTGTCGGGGTTGAGGGTGAGGTGAGTGGGCAATCTGGTGAGTAAGAGGAAGTGGGTTTGTTGTGTCGGGTTGAGGGTGAGGTGAGTCGGGTCAATTTGGTCAATTTGTTGTGTCGGGGTTGAGGGTGAGGTGAGTCGGGGTCAATCTGGTGAGTAAGAGGAAAGGGAGTTTGTTGTGTCGGGGTTGAGGGTGAGTGAAGAGTAAGTAGGTATGAGAGAATGAGTGAGTTTGGTGTATGTGGAGTGCGGGTGAGGAAATAGAGTGGGGGTTGAGGATGAGTTTTAAGGGAGAGGGGGTCAATCTGGTGAGTAAAAGGAAGGGAGGTTTGTTGTGTCGGGGTTG